GAGCCTCGAGGACTGCTTAACTGGCAGCACCATCAGCACTGGCCAGTGACATAAAGATATACATTAGTGCAGTGTGTAACAATGTGAGCCTCGAGGACTGCTTAACTGGCAGCACCATCAGCACTGGCCAGTGACATAAAGATACACATTAGTGCAGTGTGTAACAATGTGAGCCTCGAGGACTGCTTAACTGGCAGCACCAACAGCACTGGCCAGTGACATAAAGATACACATTAGTGCCGTGTGTAACAATGTGAGCCTCGAGGACTGCTTAACTGGCAGCACCAACAGCACTGGCCAGTGACATAAAGATACACATTAGTGCAGTGTGTAACAATGTGAGCCTCGAGGACTGTGGCCTCCTTCCCTTTAAAGATCTCCAAAGCTCTCCAGACGTCTGTAGTGTCACCAGTGCCCCTGTAGTGTCACACTCTGTCCCAAGATTCTCCGCCAGTCAACATGTGCCGTTTGAAAGTGCCAAGACATTAACTGGCAGCACTATATGCAGGAGAGACCCAGTCACCCAGAATCAGAGAAGCATCATCCCGGCTGTTATGGGAAAACTATTCAAAATTATTCACTCAAAATGTAAAAAATATGGTTTTAGGAAGAGTTGCTACTGAAAATGCAATAAAATTGTGGAAACATGCTCTTTATCCTCTTATATTGTAAATAATAAAGTATATTATCAATATGAAGAATGCTCTATGTTATTTACAGTGCAGATACTTTGTAATGACAGTTACACTAAATATTTAGTAGGATTGTATATCAATCTGCTATCAATAAACTGTCTGTAACAGACCCTAGTTCTTACTTATTCTGTAATGTTGATCGGCAGTCTGTTATGGCATGGAAGTGACTCATATTTTTTAAAGTTTTTAATGACACATTTCTGGGTCTAATCTGAATGCATACTACGCAGCAGATGGAGGGTCCGACCTACCAAAATAATCACAGACACGAAGACCCAGTAGAGCATTGGGCCACAGCTCTGAGCTCAGAAATCCCATCCCTTTTTTGGGAGTGGTAGAAAATGACATTCCAGGTTCTCTGTGTTCAGGCCCATGGTGCTCAGCCTGCTCCTCAAACCATCCACCTACAGGAATTGAAGGACTCTGCTCTAGCCTGTTTGCTTCTTCCAGCATATTCTGTTTGTTCTCAGAAACTCATTGGACCATTGCACCTGCTCATTAACGCAGGCAACCTGCTCCTCCAAGCAGCCAATCGTGTGGCTGCTCCTGCATACACGCAGAACCACACAGACAGGCTCAGAAGGTGCACTTACTGTGCTTCTAATCATTAGAATGACCCAGACGCCTGGTCTATGTGGTGCTCGTGGGAGTTTTACTCACACAAAAATGTTCTGAGGGCAGAAGGAAAAATGATTCGTTCAGGGAGATAACCAATCAGATTATAGAGAAGGTGGAACCAACCAATCAGATGTCTTGATTGGTTATTTTTTTTCCTTCTGTCCTCAAAACAGTTTTGTGTAAGTAAACTCCCAGGTTTTAAATGTGGTGTGATTGTTGCTGTAATGTATGGTGGTTCCAGCATCTCACAAACAGCCACACTACTGAGATTTTCACACGTGACAGTGGCTGATTTTCTTTTGGTTGTCAGTTTAATGTTAATGCCTTGTCTGAGTCTCCATGTGGCCACATTGCAAACTGACTGCATTGATGGGAAGCAAATGAATTTGAAGACAAATTGTCAGCAATGGGAATTTTTTTAGATAATATAAAATGTTTTAGAATAAATTAACACAAAAATACAGTAACAACTTCAAAGCTGCTTGCAATAAACAAGACACTTCCAAAAATAAACTGATTCATATTAATACAGTAAACAAATATGTATTATTTTTATATATTGCAATTGAAATTGGCTCAGATATATGCCCCCAACTACTGCGATTGGGTTTTCACTTTTCACCTACTGGTTAGTGTCTCCTGAAGTGACTGAAATGAGGTGATTCTGAGATTGTTCTGTAATTAGCTTCCTTACAAATGAAAAAAAAATGAAACCAGGACCTTTAATGCAACCTGCGGCAGCCGTTGACACATAAACACACTTTCAGTGTCTGTTCTGTTCTCCTCACACTTTTGAAGCACAGAACCGGTGTAGCACCACACAAACCCCACGTTTAGGTGAGGCCCCTGGATAAATATTGCATAAACGCCTTCCTTATTTGGGATGTGCTGAAGCAGCAAGATCTTCTAACCAGCTAGCTTGCTACAGTCTTCTGACTCTATTTGCTAGCTATTTATTTCGTTTTTTGGGGGATGGGCAAAAACACCAAACATGCCTCTAACTGAGGCACCGAGTCGCTCAGGAGTTCTGCCTCTTACTGGATTGTTCTGGGGAGTTCTGTATCAGGACGGATCATGAACCTCGTTAGCGTATCCTCATTCTGCTGACTTCAGGGCAGCTTCATTGCTGAAGGCAGGTTCCCCCGGGGGGCGCCAGATACAGGCGCCAGCCATTTGGAGGCACGTCAGAGCCAGAATCGCTGATCCGGGCGCAGCTGCCAAGCCCACAGTCTGCTGGGAGGGGCTCTGAGAAGCAGAGCTGCTCTCCCCTCTGGGTATCACCGAAATCCACCACGTCGGTGTCCTCAGCACAGCAGAGCCGGGCTGCACCCAGTTCCCTGTCTTTTCCATCAGTATTAATTGGTGAACTTCCCTGCACGCTGACCTCAGACTACGCCCTGTGTTACAGAAGCCGCTCCCAGTGTCTTGGGCTCTTAAACAATCCTCAAGCTGACACCCCTTCTGTAATGTGCCTAAAGCCGTCTTAAGTAATTAAAGGAGATCGGAAATGGGGCTACAAAGTGTTGATTCGGAATGGGAGGGGGGTGGTTGAATGTACTGTGGTTCGCAGTGAGGAACAGCCTCTTCAAGGTAAAATCTGTGTAAAAAACGATTTAGAGCTATAAGAAAGTGAAAGGCATGTATGCATTTCTCAAGCCAGGATTCAAAGTCCATATTGCAAAAATCTACAATGAGATTTGGCAACCTGTGTGACAGAGTGTAAACATATTCTCTAAAAAATGTTCTCGGCTACTTATGAACAGCAGTCCATCAGAATCTTTCCTGCTGGGATAATTATAAATAATTATAATTATAAAAGTAATAAATAATAATTATAAAATAACATTAACATCATGGAACAGCACTGCAGGTCAATGCTACTGTCTTGTACCTTTGGGGTCAGATGTCTAAATGTGTGTGTGTGTGTGTGTGTGTGTATGTGTGGTCATGTATGTATTACATTGTGGAGACCTAATGTCTATTGCATACTACGCCGTTATTTTTTATAAAACCTGTTATTTTTACCTCGTAAGGACATTTTTTTTTCGGGGAAACAGCTAAAAATGTGTCACTGCAGTCAGAAAGTAGCCAAAAGTCTGGTATTTTTTGGTTACTTATGGCTAAGGTTAGGTCTGGGTATGTTGTTATAGCAAACCTTCCAATATTTAGGTTTTCTTTTTTTCCCCCGACTACTGTCCTGGTGAGTAGCAGATATAAATGGACACTGTTCAGTCAGACTCGGCTTAAATTTGTAGGTGTTTTTGTTTTTTTCTCAGGAACGCCATCCTGCCCTGACATTCTGACAGCAGTTAAGTTAGCTAGCAATTAGCAAATTAATTCAGCATTGAGCTGCTCTGCCAGCCTGCTAAGAGGGCAGCTAAGCAAACCCCCCCACCCCAAATGGGGA